AATATCCCAAATGACACAAAGCTACATGACTTTGAATTAAGAGAAAAAATGATTCTTCTTATCTTTTTTTTTAATAATCATTCTCATGAAATTCAATTCAGCTCTAAATTCTGGACAAAACTGAATTGATGACTGTGTCAAGACTTATTCAAACTAAAAGTACAATCCTAGTGAAATGCATACATATAATAAAAACAATGGGCCATATCCCAGAAGAAATCAGTAAAGCTGTGTGAGGTTCACCACTTATCTAAGGGAACTGAGAAGCTGAATCTTTGTAAAATTCTTTCTTTCCTTCCTTCCTTCCTTCTATTCCTTCTCTCTCTTTCTCTCTCTCTCTCTCTCTCTTTTTCTTTCTTTCTTTTTCTCCCCCCCTTTTTTTTCCCCTCCTTTCATTTATTTGAAGAGATTGATTGTATTTGTGACTTTAATGTAGAAACCAGTAAATGGTGCATGGAGAACAGGGCTGGCTATTAAACAATGGCTGTTGTATGTGAAGTGCTGCTATGAGTAGAGATGAACAGCACTGAGCCAGAAATGCCCATAAAATCTCTGAGCTCTGAAACACCCAGGTCAGTCTCAGGCTTTTTTTTTGGACTATTTCCTCCTCTATTACTCTATTTTTTTTTTCTCTAAGCAGGGAAGGTAAGAACAGAAGGTCAAAATCTGAAGAAAATCTGGTGTAAGATCTGAGTGCTGGTGAATGTTTCCAGGTACAGCAAAACAATCCTCTATGCAGCCTTAATGTTAGAAAAAGGCCTAACAGTGCTTTCCCAGACAACTTCAGGTATAGCTCAGGATTTGGGAACCATCCTCAAAAATATACTAATAGTTAGTCACATTAACATGAGGCTGATGGGTAAATGACATGAATTCAGAATGTTGGTTGGTCTTCATGCTAAAAAAACAGTCACAGGCTCATTTAGTTTTCTATTGGAGACACAATTCAACTACATCAGGAACAGTTGAGGTGCATCCCTCAGGCACTGATCATGCACTGTTAGCTGCTGAAAATCTGCAGCTGCTCATTCCTTCCTCTCCTCTCTGCAAGGTCACCCCTCACCCAGCTCCATAGCTGTTTGTGTGGCCATTTGAAAAAAAACACATTTGTGAAATTATCCAGCCTGAACATCCACAGTGATGTTAAACAACTAAAAGAGACATAGGCATGCACATGCATGTGTGAGCCTGTGAGGGTACATAAGCAGCTGAATTATTACAAAAAACCTCTGAAAAATCTTCAAGGAGGGTGGGAACATGAAGGCAAAGGCAGTTAGTTGCATTTAAAATAGGATTTTGGTCAAAATTCATTCATACCCCCACAGCTTCAGAGTCTACACATCTGGAATGGTATTTCCTTTTATGCTGAATATAAGAGAAAGGCTTTTTGCCTGAGGTGAAGATGGTCCCAACTTGTATTGTTAGTTTAGACTCCTTAAAACTCACTAGTTGCAGAGAACTGCCACTGAGAATTTTATTATTTTGCTGAGCCTTGCATATGCACGTTTGGCAACAATATCTCTGTCTAGTTTGGATTAGATACTTGCAACATCTGACACCTTGCACTCATACTGGGAAAAATTCTACAGAATTCTCAGCTATGGCCACATCATGTTGCCTCTGTCCTTCAAACAGAGCTAAGTTTCAAACATTAAAAGGACTTTGGATCAAAATATAAATAAGAAAGGTGAGAAAAATAGAAAAAGTGTGCATATAAAAACTTATGTCAGGAGTGGCAACCCTTTTGTCCACAGAAAACTGAGTGCAGACAGACAAAAGGAATCTTAGTATAAGAGTTTGCCTTATGCTTTGCCTTCTGATTTGATAATGTTCTCTGGATTTTAATTGCAAAAAATGCAAAATCAATAAAAAATCTAAAAGGAAAAAGACAAATGAAGAAAAAGAAGGGAAGAAGTAAAAGCTAAAAAAGAATCTAAAGCTGCTACCTGGTGTGCAACTTGGACAAAATTAGAGGAAATCCATCTGACAGCTGGCAATGACTTTACCTCTGTTTACATTCAGCTTTTAGAAATAGTCTGCATTCACTTGAACTTTGACTGGAACTCCCTTGCTTAAAAATTTGATAATTCCTTCTGTCTCTATGCTGCCAGAGAAGATTCCAACTTAAAGAATGAAAAGCATGTTGAATAGGAGGATAATTGATCTGAAAGTAACACCTCTTATTTTATTATGTTGAAGGATACGGTGGTATGGTAGTTGAGGTTGAATCTTCCCACCAGTATTCCATTATGTTTTGCTGCCCTGTAACAGATGGCAGCGGAGGGGCATTCTGACATGGCACCTGACATGTAAGTGCAGATGAAGCAAAGGTGTGTGATTGAATTCCTCCATGGAGAACGAATTGCACCTGTTGACATTCATCAGCACTTAGTAAACATTTATGCAGACCAAACAGTGGATGTGAGCACAGTGAAATGGTGGATGGTGCATTTCAGCAGAGGCAACAGCAATGTGGAAAACATGTTCCAGATGGCCATGCAGATTTTTAAGACCATGTTATGCAGGCTCTTGTTCATTGTTGGTGAAAATGCACAGCTAGTGGTTATGACTATGTTGAAAAACATTGTTTTTCTTTTTTTTTTCAGCTAAGAATTTGCTCTATCAGATAACGTTATTACTTTTTACTCTTTCTAGAAAAGTATTCAGCTCTTCAGATTGTATTGTTTTAAAATGGCTTACCTTTATGGATAAATTGAATAGTATTGGCACGTGAGACTTTTCTAGCCCTTTTTACAAATAATTATTTCATACCAGTGAGGAATGAACTCAACAGCTGCGAATAAAACCACTAGAGAAAACACTTCCTTCAGACTTTAGGGGTAAAAAAAATAATCATAGAATAATGTTACTCTAAGACAATAGTTTCTTCTGAAATAAATGACCTTTTCCTTGACTTTTGTGTATCGCTTAATTAAATCAATTAGTGCATTCAGGATTTCATTCAGTGCTACTCAGAGGTGTCACAAGGGGTTGCACTTATCAGTACAAAGTTAAACAGTGCAGTCCATGCACTGGGAAATTTCTGTTAAGAAAAGTGCAAAAATGAGGGGCATCATAACTGGGATTTGGGTTGAACTATAGATAAACCTGAGTAAAATGGTTATTGAATATTGGGTGATAACTGGAGAGAACACAAGAGAGAAACAGACTAAAGGCATATGATATGGGATTAATTCATTATACTTTTCCTTATTGAGTAATCACTCATGACTATAAACCAAATTAACTCAATATTCTTCAAACAGCCCTTAAGCCAAAACCCAACAGAATATAACTGAAAATGATGTTACCTACAGAATCTTGGCAACATAATAAAATCTTTGGTAAAAAAAAATATTTTTCTGTTAGTAATTACACTAATGAATGGACACTATGTTAAATGTCAACTTAATATTGGGTAGGGATTACTCTATCAATAATTTAATTATAAATTATTTCTTTAACATTAAACACAAATGGTGCAGGTTCTTTATTTGACTAAGCTTTATTCAAAGCAGTGATGAGAGATAAAATGATTCATATCTTCATTTGTCTAGAAGACTTGATGCAGGACTACAGAATACTAATAACTTTTAGACAACTGTGTGTTTTCACTTCTTCCTGTATTCATTCTTTATTTTTTTTTCTCATTTTTTCAAAAATAGAAGAGTTAAGTATACTTTTTTTTTTCAAGAAGGCTACTTTACTTGCTAAAAGCCACTTTAGTTTTGACTTCAGAGATTGACTAATATCATCTCAAGACTAAACTTAGTGGAATGGGTTTTATTCTATGGATGCTGTTCCCCAGTGGTTAAAGTTTACATTGAGCCTAGAATACAGATTAATAATTCATTTTGACTTCTGTCACTATCACTGTATCTCAGCAACATATATGTTATAATACAGTTTTAAAGATGAACCATCCTGTTCATGTTCACATCTGAGGTCAAATCATGCTACTGTCACTAAAAATGAATGTCTTTATCTTTCCATATCTTTCTCATCCAGTCTTTTTCACAAGCAATCCCTAGATATGTCGCTATGATTTTCAGTGTTTCTGGAACTTCACATTAGAAAGTGTCCGAACTCTAAAAAGTAAGGACGTACTGCAGGTGAGTAGGTGAGTATTATGATCAACCATTGCCTTCATTCATGTTTAGCAAATCCATATTTATAAGGTAGAGGAACAGTGTTGGAAAAAAAAAAAAAAAAAAAAAAGTAAATATAAGCATTCAAAGAGTGACTTTTTTTTTAAGAAAAGAATTGCTATGGAAAATTTTATTTTCTCGTATTGTCATGTACAGAAGAATTGAGTTGAAAGTGTCAGAATCTGCAATTTAGACGTCTGCACCTAAGGTAGCTATCTATCTTTGAGGGAGAAAAACAGTAATTTGCCTAATTATTAAGGAAATGTCTCAAATACGTCAGATGAATCATAGTCTGTTTCTTTCTATACTAACAAAACGAGCAAAAGGAGATTATATTAGACTTAGATGTTAAAATCATGTGAAAAGAGTCCTTCCCATACTCTGATGTAAAGTGTTTAAAAAAGTCTACAAATGAATGTACAGAATCTATATATGTCTGCTAACAGACTTTCAAATACATACACAAGTTCAGTCAACACTTTCTGACAATGAAATGAATACATTTTAATCCTTTTCCAAATGAAAATAATAGAAAATCTCTATGTTCCAAAAGCAAATGTCAGTGTACATGGAAGCTAATGAAAAATATACTGAGGAAAAGGAAATATATGAGAAGTGATACCTGAGATGTATCTTTTGTGAATGACCTGTTTTAAAACAGAACAAGTGAAAGCAATAACACTTACAGAAGAAGCAAAGTGACATACTAAGTATGAAATAGCAGTGTCTGCTAGGTAGGCAGATTTCTTCAAATCTTATACTAGGAACTGAAGAACATTTTCTAGATTTAGTTAAGAAAAAAAATCTATTCTGAAGACTCCAAATAATGACACAGTGTTACTTTTGTCTTACCTCTATGAAGAAGAGACTGGCTGCTGATGTTGGATGTTGGTACATATAGACAGTCACGAGGATGGCTGCAGCCACAATGAGGACCAGGACTAAAATGCCGATGATTAAACCAGCATGAAGTGTTCCACCTTTTTTCTCTGCAGCGCTGTCATCTGTGGAAGCTGCATGAATGACACACTTATTAGTGCAATAACTTATGTCTTATCCATTCCATTTCATATCTGGTAACTGAACACTTGCTTTTTCATTATTACACGTCTTGCTTTCCAGATCCCATTTTGGAAAAAGATGCTAGGTGCTCTTTCCCATACAACTGAACAATCCTATAATCTTAATGAACAGACATTTCCAAACATTTTACTATTTTTGATTCAATAAACAAAATTAATATAGTTTCATTTGAACATAATCTGGACATTCGGAAGTTCCTAATTACCTTCATAATGAATTTTGCTTTGATTTTCTCATAAAATCATTGCAATTGCCCTACAGACGAGTACCAATTGAATACATTTTGAGTGTTGCATTTTATTCTAGTTTTTAAAGCTTCAAGTTGAGAGATGGCACAAATCTCTATGAGGTCTAGATAATAAACATTCTGAAAGGCCGATTCATTAGCTTAGAGAGGGGTTTTGAACCACCCTGTGCAACTGAATCAAACTGCCAAAACTGTTAACAGATGGACGTTAAATGACCCTGCAACATTTTAACCTTGGTCTGAATGGAACATACATCCAAGAATTACAGAAGACCATTCATTTACTAAGCCTGATTCAAAGATATTGTTCATGCTATGCTCCTTCCATGAAAAAAAGTGCTGCTCTATCACAAAAGCAACTTGTCAACTCTGCCTTCAAATTGGTGACTGTAAATCTTTTAATAGCACTGTAACCTCTGTGAAAAAGCCTCCCAGTAAATTAGACAAGATTCACTCATGATTGGATGTGATTTCTACTTTTGGTGCGCACAAGCCCAAAGATTCCCACTGCTTTCTGCTTTTCTGCCAATCCTAGAATCACCTCCATGATATACTCCATACAGAACTTGTCTCTGATCTCACTTATATGCATTTCTTTTTCAATTCCATTTTTAAATTTCCTCTCACAGTGTTTGCTTGCCAAGCTGACTATAGTGAAAGTGGTTGATTTTTATAGTCATCCTTTTGGTTGTACCACTTCCCTGAACTATTTGTTTGGTTGTATTAGAATGTCGCAGTCTGTGAGGTCAGTGGTCATCTACCTTTGATTTGCTCTCAGAAAGCAGCCATTGAATTATGAGTAATGCTTCAAACAATTACAATGCTAATACAATTGGTAACAACCACAACAATACTTGTGCATGGTCTTTCACTGTTCATAAGATGGTGAGCAAAACACTCCATACTAAGATTAAAAAAAATGAACTGGAAAATAATAAGAGTATCTCCTGATACTAACACAACATTAAATGCTTCCTATGAGGGGCAGTAAAACAAAATAGGAATAGTTAACCATGTTGAGGTTAACTGTAACTGTTCAAGCATCCCATGGAAGGCCTGCATAGCTGGTTCCACAAATGACTTTATGGCACCATTACAGCAATAGGGAAAAAAGGAAGATGCATTGTCTTAGCCACAAGCTGTTTCTAACTATTACATGGAAATATTTCATTGTAAGAAGAACTTATTCCTGTAAGTTTCCCAGTGTCAGCCTTATTTGATTTTTTTTTTTTTAAATAGAACAGACAATGAAAATTTTTAACCCATTCTTTGATATTGTAGTGAAATAAGGGAGATAATGTCCATAATGTAGATCTTTGAGCATTTCCAAATGCATTCATTGTCAAATGCTACTTAGAACAATTCATGATGGTAGCCTTCATGGAGGAAGATAGAAGAAAAGTGATACTGAAAAAGATGGCTCTAACTTTCAAACAGCAGAGTTCTTTACTCAGCATTGCCAGTAATAATTTACTAAATAGCTACTCACTTCCAGCTGAGTATAGCTGGTGTATAAAACTCTAGAATTAATTTGTGCACCACAACTATATTTATTACTTGTACATATGTTTCAAATGGCAAAGCAAACACAAGTTAAGCAACTGAAAGACCATCTGGGAAGGCCTGCTTTATTGTACATGCTTTGGATTGGGTTATTAATTCCCAGTGATGAGAAGCTATTTGTTGTGTGAATCACCCCACAGAGAAGTAACAATTTCCCATAAGGAGCAGGTAATTCCTAGCTTGTCTTTCTCATAATTGGCTGACAACTTCATACTCTTCTACTCAACTCTTCAGTGCCACATTGGTGAATCATAAACAATTACTTGCACACATTTCCAGGCCAATTTACACAAAATGAATAATTTGTATTGTTACTATGTTATGGTTGAAAGCAGAACATCATATTCTGCATATTAAAAAATGCTAGATTTCAGCAAAGATACTGACCAGTTTATAAAGGCCATTAAATTAATCTGTTTTGATTTATTATTTTCTCAGTATTTAGCATACAGATTTGCAAGTAAAAATGCTGTCATTTCACAGTAGAACAGGTGACGTTATGCTGCCTAGTCTAGGGTAGTGTACTGCGTGGACATCACTGCAGTGATCAGAATGGCAAACATGAAAACAAATGAAATAGATTCTTAAATAACAACAAGGGTAAGTAACTTGTAATTTCCATAATCAAAATTCAGTTCATTGACCCCAGGGCTATAATACTCATGAGAAATTGATTTCACTGTCTTTGCACAGAGACAATAAACAATGTTGTCAACTTTGAGAACACTCCCTGCTTGGAAATCAACTGACAGCTCTTTTAAAGAGCTACCAAGGGAAATAGCTGAAAAAAAAAAAGAAAAAAAAAAAAAAAGGAAAAAAAAAAGAAAAAAGAAAAAAAAGGGCTTAGAAACTTTTTCACGTGCAGAAGTATTTATAAGCTTTTCAAAACACATCTGCTGTTCCAGGCAAGGCTAAACCCATAGGAGGATATTTGTCTTTTGAACATTTTTCCCCCAAAACAGCTTTCTCAGTGGAATTTTCCCCAAATTTTCATTTTCCTGTGCTCAGGAAAGTTGTTACATACAATATACTGTATTTACAACTCCTCCCCAAATTCTTTAATGTATAAACCTTTTAAGCAGAAAGAACATGTTAACATCTGCATGGTTACTCTGTTTCTCACTAGGTTCTGAGTAGCAGTACAGAAAGAGTAAGTTTTTTCCCCAAGATACACAATGCAAACATGATATAACTGCTCTCCTGCTTGAATGCTGTCTAAAAAGAAAGTAAAAACAATAGGAGCGTTTTGATTGTATGGCAAACACACTGGGACTGTCATTTTTGCTTTTATATTACTGTGTTATGTCTCTAGTTACAGTTGAGTTAGATATTTTGGTGCAGTAAAAGCAAAAACCTCAAGAAATTATCGCATGTAAATGTCTTGTCCTGTTCCATGGTCACTATGATGCTGACTTTACCACGAACAAAGGTGTGTACAAACTGAGACAGAGCATTTGTAAACATGTTACAGATACTTTCTCACCACTGGTATAGCATAATAACAATTGAGGTCTACAAAAATAATGAAATACAATATGTTCTCTTATTCAAGCCCAAGGTTCACACAAGGTTGCCACTGTAACAGTTTTATATACAAGAAAAAGAACAAGACCTGTGATACATATATATATGTCTGCCATGATATGAGATAGAAAAGTAGCAACTTACCAGAGATTTACATCTCTGACTGTGTGAGCAAAGATAAGAAACATTTTTATTGGAAAAGGAAGAAAACTATGTGAAGTTCTATTGCTTTTTTGGATCTTTCCTTTAGACAAAATAACATTGATTCAAGGGCAAATAATGGATGGTAATATAAAAATGAATTTTTTTTTGCATAACAGGAATTTGGAAATAAAGTTTCACTGTTTTCCTCCATGTTGTCCCTTCTCACTCTTGTATTTTGATCAGAAAGCTAAAAATTCCAATCTAATTGCTTAGATGCACATGCACCTTTAAGGGGCATCATGTAATATCTTATTTGATCCTCCTGACTGACACAGGTACACTAGCAAAGTCAAATATATAGGGTATAAATGTCCTAAGCAGCAGTGATCAGCCTGAAGGAAGTCATTCAGTCCTGTTTTTCCATGAAGAAAACTGAGATCTTCTCCCCTCTTTTTACCAAATGTATGAATTTTCATGGTAAATCCTTGAATTTGTCACAAAGAGATAAAGAACGGACACTGATTTATTACAAGATGAGCATTTGCTGTTAGGTCATGTGGCAGAATTGGACAAATTCTAAACGTTCAGCACAAAACATTATTATTTTTTTTTTTTGCTGTCAGGTCAGATGAATATGAAACTATCACATACATATGTGAATATACATGCAGCCCTATCGGCAGCTTGCCTGGCATGAACTTAGTCTTGTGGTGAAATAACTTGGATAACTACCAGCCCAGTAAAACATTCCAACAGATGAAATGGTGCCAGACTGGAAAAGCCTGCTGGTTCAAGTATAACCACACCTACAGTACTTACTCACTCTTATGCATAATACTCATGAGTGTGCACTACATAGATTAAAAATTAGAGAAGCTCAATCTTTTTTTTTTTTAATTATTATTATTTTTCTTTTTAAGGCAAACATGCCATCTTTTAAACTGTTTAGCTGTTAACATTGAAATACTCTTGCATTCCACAATTTTTATGTTAGGTAATGAACATTTAGGGTAGATTTATGCCATGCTTCTAATACTAATACAAGAGTAGTATCCCATAAATACTAGCTTAGGAATGTCAGATGTGCTTATATATAACATTAATAACCCTTACCACATGTAACTATGATATTAAAGCTTAAAGTGGTAGATTATATTTCTATAGAGCCCACAAACAAATTGCCAATACCTGGTGACAGAATCTAAAATTAGGTGGAATTAAGAACAGTATGCTTGGATATGCTTCTAATTGAAATATTTCACTTGATTCACAGTAATCACCTTGAATTGCAACTATGTGAAAACTCTTATGTCACTGAAATGTGAAAGGGGATCTTTTTGCACCAATACTTCAAGAGATTCCAACTGCAGTATTATTATAGGATCACAGAAACTTGATGATCCTGAAAGAATGCGTTCTTTAGGTTACTTAAAGCTTTTGAAAACACACTGC